AAGATTCTCATAATTTTTAATAAAATTTAATTTTCGGAGCTAATTGAGTGTTGGAGGATGAATTTGGGCTTGGGCTTATTAGATAACGAATGCTGAAAAGTTCTATTAGGAAAAATTAATTTTAATGGGCTTAAGATAAGGCTGAAAACTGAAGAAAATGAAATGAGCTTAAGCCTGTTTTACTGAATAAAATTTTGGGTTTAGGCCCGAACCAAAAAACCGTAAGAATTGGACATGTCCAGATTGGTTCAGTTCTCTTAATAATTTTAAGTCAAAATTGGATCAAACCAAACCGCCCAGCCCCAATTACAAAGCCTCTAGTGTATGAGAATGCACACAAGAAGGTTGATAAGTGATGACGAGGAGGAATTTTAAAAAAAGTACCAGCTTTGTCTTCCTCTGTTGGACAACAAGCACGAAGATGAACGTGACAGGACATCAACAAAGTGATAACTTGATATGTAAAGCATATATTTCATGAGTATCATCAAGAGCAGAGCATAGCACAAGCATAAGCATGCCTTGCACAATTTAGCTTTTGATTGCTTTTTGGGTACAATTCGGCTAGCTAGCTTAGGGCTTTAAACGTCGTCATTTTGAAGTTTCCTGTTACTTTAGACAACGAGTACGATTAAATTGACTTGACAAGAGAACACAATGATAACTTGTTATTCGAGCATATTTCATGAGTCATATTCAGGACGGGCCTATTCTTTCACTAACTTGGACTATAACCCAGTGACCTTGTCTTTTTAAGCCTAAACTAATATACCCATCCCACCCAATAAATAGCTCTGCACTCTCATAATCCTCCTTCACCTTTGTTTTTTTCTCTCTTTTTTCTTTTTGGTACAAAAGGGACCAAAAGGCCAAACACAAGCAACCCATGCTTCTTTTATTTTTGTTCGACAACAACCCATCCTATTTTCTTTTTTGGTAGAAAATATAACCTCCTTCACTTCACACACCCTTGCATGTAGAAAATAGAAAAGAACTATGTACTAGATGCGTTTTTAGGGGTAAAACTCATTATGTCATCATGATTATTAGAGCATCTCCAAGAGAGTTGCTATCCTCTCATTCCCTAGCTATTTTGGCTAAAAAGAAGGAAAATCCTAATTGCAGCAAACTCCCCACTTGGCTCTTTATTTTAGAAAACCAACTTTTGGCTCGCTACATTTAGTAAGGAGGAGAGAGAAAGTGAGCCTCGCCAAATGGAAGCTGTGCAAGAGAGAGAGAGAGAGAGAGAGAGAGAGATTTGGAAGGTTGGTGGGGTTGGTTTTAAACTTTTCCTTTTAATATATTTCATTTGCAAGAGAGAGAAGAAAATAATAAAATATTTGAGATTAGTCAAAATAGAGAACATTGCTGGAGAAAACACATTTTAAATAGTTTGCTATAATGACTTTCTAGCTATTTTAGCCAGAATTGGCTAAAATTTGAAGACTTTCTTGGAGATGCTCTTAGGTGTAGTCTTTTGTTATCAATGAATTTCACTTTGTATTGTCAAGGTTAATAACTATGTGCATAAAGTAAATTTAGCTCACTCCAATTTGAAATCATTTATCCATCTCTGGCTACATTTCATGAGTTGTACTTGTATACGGAGAAACTGACGTCCAGCACAAGCATGCGCTTTACGATTTTGCTTTTGATTGCTTTTATTTTTATCTCTTTTTGTTTTTTGGTATACAAGACTTTTATCGCGCTTGGAGTTAGATGGAACAAACAAAGAGCAATTAATGCCTTCCTTCTGAGAAAATATATAATAGTAAAGTAGGCACCTTTGGAAAATAGGAAAAAACTAGGATAAAGAATGAGCACAATCCAAGATATCTTTTGTCCCGAGTTCTCTGACATTTTCCTTTCTTTTCTTTTTTTGAGCAGATGCCTCTAGAAAAAAATAAAATATTAGTTATTAATCTCTACTCCATCAGCATAACATAAGTAATAGCGAACAATATTGTACAAAACAAATTTCAAATTCATGCACCACTATAACTTAATACAGCATCAACATTAGCATATACTTTTTATATATACACGCAATGTCATTTCATGATCCGAACTATATATCTATTTTTAGGACCTCCTTTCAAACATCATTCTTGCAAAAAAATAAGTAAAATTGTAAATCTATTACTAGTCACTTAACTCTAATGAATTATAAATGGATGAACACTACTGAGGTTTGAATAAAAACACTAATATATTTTTATATACGTACGGTATGATGATTAAATGGTTAATCAATTTTTTATATGTGTATATATAACAATTCTCTACAGTGTCGTCACAAACGCTTTCTTTGCTATATATATATATATATATCACGTAATCATTAGACTAGCTAGTGCAAGAGGCCAGACATGGAGAGAGTGGACGAAGTGGCCCATAGCCTGTTCGGTTATGCCATGAACGGCAAATGGAAAGAAGTTGTGAAAATCTATTGTAGATCATCAGAGAATGGTCATGATTTGTCTATCACCAAAATGGGGGACACTGCTCTACATTTTGCTGTTTCGGAAGGAGAAACAAATGTTGTGCTGGAATTGCTGAAGACCATTGAAGACAATGCATTCAACATATTGAAGAAAAAAAATAACGAAGGCAACACACCTCTGCATTTAGCTGCTGCACTTGGGGATGTAGAAACGTGTCATGCAATGGCCACCAAACACCCCAAACTCGTGTCGCTTCGCAATAATCAGGACGAGACCCCTCTCTTCTTGGCAGCTCTTAATGGGCATTGGAAGGTTTTTCTTTGCCTTCATAGTCACTGTGATGAAGAAAGATGCTATTCATTTAGAGCAAGGAACGGTGATACCATTCTCCATGCAGCTATGTCCGGTGAATACTTCAGTAAGTGTGTGGCCATCACATTGTTAACCATATCTCGAATACAAGTGGATCTCATATACATTGGTGGGGTTCACTTTAAGCAAAATGATTAATAAATGTGACACAAATAGCATTATTATTACTTCTTAAATATATATTATTTTTTTTAAACTTAATATCATTTTTTATTATTAATTTCCTTTTTAAATATATAGGTTTGGCATTCCAGATCATTCTGTGGCACCCAGAACTTGTTAATTATATTAATCAGAGTGGCTTCTCTCCCCTGCATATTCTAGCCAATATTCCATCAGCATTCAAAAGCAGTAGCCGCCTTAGACCGTTCGATCGTCTCATTTACCATTGTAAGAATATCTCTACTGATTTTATTTTTTATTATTTGGTGTATGATTTTGGATGTTTAATTCATGTAATTCAATGCTAATGCATTTGCACTTGGCAGTTTCATGTCTCACTTCGTAATTACTAGGCTTTCAGGGTACAAAATTATTAAAAAAGAGAACTATGATGTTATGACCTTTTTAAGTATGCATACATCACACATGTACCTGTTTTTTGAAGAGAAAATAAAAATATATATAGTTTGTTTGATCATTATAAGGGTGTTATTCATGTTTCCAGAAGAAAAACTCAGTCCCTAATAAAAGTATTGCATACAATCAGTAAATCCAGAGGCGGAGCTAGAATTGTAAAGTTGGGGGGGACCGAAATAGAAAATACAAGTATACTCTATATCTTGCAACTGTAGGGACCTTGGTTAATTACTCTATATCTTGCAACCGTAGGGACCTTGGTTAATTACTCTATATCTTGCAACTGTACTTCTGTCCGAATAAGTTTTTCCATTTCATTTCTCAGGTTTGATTGCTGAAGAGCTAAAAGGGCCAGAAGTTGACAATAAGATTTGTCCTCGCGGCAAAAAAGGAAGGAATATCGACAATAGGGGTTCTGAATCTCAAGAATTAAGTGAGTGCTAGTCACTACTTAGCGAATTTATACGTTGCTTTTTCGTCACCACAAATATTTACCACAAGTCTAATATAATATAGTTTCTCCATTTCCAGCTACATCATGTGGAAATAGGATGTGTTGTTCTCTAAGTCTAGTTAAGAGAGGAAATAAAAAGGAAGATGCAGAGAATCCCCAAGAAAAGAGCAGCTCAATGCCAGGTAAAGTTGGGTAACCATAATGTCCTTTGAACTTGTAGTGAACCTTATCATCACTTCTCATGAATGGTGTCTCCAAGATGTTTTCTATGGAAAACAACCCTTAAAACTGTAAAATACATCTCTTAAATAGAGAAAATAAACCTAAACAGAAGCACATAAGCAAAAAAAATTCATTTTCACTATTTTGAAAACAAAAAACGAAATCTATTACCAAACATGTTCTCAATTTTCAATTTTTTTTTTTAAAAATTGAAAACTGAAAATTAAGGGCCCGTTTGATAACCATTTCAATTTTAGTTTTTAGTTTTCATTTTTCATTTTTTGTGCTAGAGTATAGATGAAAAAGAGGAAGAATGGAAGTGAGGATGAGAGTGGAGATGAGATTGAAAGAGAAAATGAGGAGCAGATGGGAGGGAGGACTAACAAAAGTGAAAACAAAAACTAAAAATTGAAATTTATTTGAAATTGTTTTCACTTTCAAGTTTTTGTTTTCACTTTCAAGTTTTTGTTTTCACTTTTGTTACTCCTCCTTCCCATCCTCCCCTATCATCCTCTCTCTCAATTTCAAGTGGTTATAATTTCTTCCTCTAATAAGTAAACATGGAAAATAAATAATAACATTAAATTTTAGCATTAATAATGAGAATCCCTTGATTTTCCCTATATCAAACTCCCCCTAGTCAGAAAAAACTCATCCTCGAATCCGAATTTTCATTGACTCCATGATAATCTTGAAATTGAAATTTAATATAAAAACTCTGAATATTTACGCATTCTTAAAATTTGCTGTGATCACAACTGCACAAATTTAAAGTGCATCTTGTCAAGGAAAAAAATTCAATTATAAGACATTACGAATACATTGATAAAATGTTTAAGACTGACTTTTGGATGCCCATTAATTTCAATATGTGCAACTTTTTTAGCATTGTTTTCCTTCCTGTTTTTCAAAATTGTAGGTATGAACCAACGAGAGGAAGATGGGAGAGAAAGTCGTCCCAATTATATTTACTCCTCATGTGTTAAGTTTTTCAACTTAATCACAGCTGTCTTGGTAGCGATCAATTGTCAGTACTATCAAACTCTGCGGTGAATCCGTTAATTTACACTTTGGTTTAAGAGCTTATTAAAAGTAAGGAGGAGCTCATCTTTAAAAAAATTAAATAAAAAAAAAAGAATTTTGACACTTGGCAAATTCCAAAACAAAGAAAATTAATAGAATTTGAAGGGAAAAAAAGAAAAAGAAAAAGAAAAAATCCCATTTGTTCTGAGGAGGAGCTCTTCCTTAATTTGAAGGAGCCAAATGAAAGAAAATTAATGTCATTAAGAAAAATCAATTGCGCATATTTGTTTGAAACCCCCTCAGGCATGCTAAAGTTGTTTTAATTTAGAATGTCATCATTTGTATTTCTAGCAATTTGGAGCATAGATAAAATCCAAGACGAGAAAAGGCGACATATATGGGCTACTCAGGTCATGAAGCAATTGGTTGAGCATAGTAATTTATACAAGAATGTCGTACAAAATCCTGGAGAAACTCCAGACGATAAACATAAATTTGGAGATGTTCCTGATCCTACCAAATTGGATCCGGAGGAGCCAAGTGGAAGTACAAGTCATACAGAGAAGAAAGACAATAAGGAAGATAAGAAGAATGACAATTTGGAAGACAAGAAGAAGGATAATTTGGAAGATAAGAAGAAGAAGGACAAAGATAATAAATTGGAAGATAAGAAGACACCAATATTAATTGCAGCAAAGATGGGAGTGAGTGAAATGGTGGAAACAATCCTAGAAAAATTTCCAGTGGCTATTTACGATGTGGACTCAGAAAACAAGAATGTTGCTATCTAACAATAATCTTACTTGTTTTTAATAAGCACCGTATTTGTTTATTTTGTTGGTCCCAATTAGATGCCTTGATGATTTTCAATTTGCAATCACTCAGACAAATCAAGAATAATACAATATTTCAACTAAACACTTAAATTTTATAATGATAATCAAATAGTGAAATAGTTTCTTTTTCAATTGAGACTTAACTCAAACCAATAAGGTCATTAATTGAACAGATATTAATCTTTGAATAAAGTTTTAAATGATCTAAATTTTATTGTGCATGGATGCAGTTTGTCCAAAAATACATGCCACCTCGCTCATCTGTTCGCTACAACAAAGAAGGTCAGATACCACAGGATATCTTCACAACTTCACACAAAGATCTTCGAACAGAAGGCAGTAATTGGCTCGTCAAAACCTCCGAATCATGCTCTGTGGTTGCTGCGCTCATTGCAACAGTTGCCTTCGCAACATCAGCATCTGTACCGGGCGGGCTCGATGATAATACTGGTTCACCCGTTTTCAAAGACAAGCCGGCGTTCAATGCCTTCACCATCTCGTCACTGCTTGCTCTATGCTTGTCAGTAACTGCCCTGGTCTTCTTTCTAACCATTATTACGTCTCGATACGAAGCGCATGATTTTTCCATCAGCTTGCCCCGGAAACTTTTGCTGGGTTTAACATCACTCTTCGCATCCATAGCTGCCGTGTTAGTCTCATTCTGTACTGGCCATATTTTTCTCCTTGATCGACACCTCAGACATGTGGCATATCCATTATATGCAGCGACTTGCTTGCCGGTTACCATTTTTGCTCTTGCCCAGTTGTCCCTCTACTATGATCTCATAAGGGTCATCTTCAGAAGGGTTCCACAGCGCAGCTACAAGGAATATAGACACTAATTAAGTGGGACTCGATCATCTATTTGGCGCTATAAATAAATTGTGTGTTTTCCAAGTGTGTGGGTTTTTATTTTTATTTTTTGAGGAAACAAGTATTAATTGGTTTGAGTGTGTGGTTTGAAATTTGTTTCCGGAGTGAGGTGAGGCTTTTGTAAGAAGTATAATGTAAAACCCAGTCTAAGATATATGTATGTTCAAGAATAAAAGGATGAAGAATAAACAAAGATTGTTTTTACAAATAATGCCTGATCTCATCATTATATGCCATATGCATGATGACATATATTAAAAGATAATTAAACTAGGGTTAATTAGGGTAGTACTTTTACCCTTCTTCTTGAAATTATCTGTAGAATGACTAAGAATGTCTAGAGGGGGTGAATAGGCTATCAATAAATATAAATAAACTTCGGTAGTAAGATTGATATGGCTTATCAATCCTGAAACATGCTGAATATAAAATAAAGGATCACACAGAGAATTATTTTACGTGATAAAACCTCACCTTTGGGGAAAATTCACCGGACTCCTCAGTCCAACACAAATCCACTATAAAACGATGAGTATGTTGAGGCCCAAAAAATCAAGGGTTGGGCCCAAATAAATTCTCGGCCCAGTACGACACTTTATTAAGGAAAGACCCAATTTGGAGCACGCAAAAGTTCGTCACACACACTCGCACGGGCCACAGTCCACGTGTCATGCCAAATAAATAATCTGTCATGCTAAATAAAAACCAAGATGAGCCTATAAAATGCCATAGCTCTACGAGCCCATGCTAATTATCCCGTCAAGCATTATATCCCTTTTCAAAGGCGATAAAATTCAAGCACGCCAATCGACATGCCATGCTAAGCGGAAGATCATTATTTTATACCTAGCCACGCTACAAGCTTAAGTGGGCCCAAGCCACGCAAATGTTCGGGGCTTGCTGAGTGGGTTGTGGTATAGATGGTAACAAGCTTTCATAAGGCCCATTGATGAGCCGAGAAATGGAAGTTTTGGGTTTCTTGGGAGCCCAAACCTCAAGCCCATTTCTTGAGCCCAAATATGTGGGTAAGCATAAAAGAGAGAGAAAAGGAAGCCCAATACTCTAGAAAAATTAGCCCTTCACCTTAATAAAATAGCCCATCACTTTAGGAAATTAGCTCATCCCCTTAATGGGCTAACCCATCACCTTAGAGAGGCCCAAGTAACCAAGGAAAATATTTGCCATCTCTCCAGCACTTAGCTGGAAACAAAAACAACGACAAAACCAAAGCTACCCATGTGAGTGGACTGCTGGGAGCCTCCAGCACATGGCTAAAGACAAATCCCAACACAAGCCATCCAAAAAACCAAAGGATACTTGAGCAAAACACCATTCAGACCAGCGCCCTTACCAATTTCTTTCTCCCACCAGGTCTGGCCATAGAAGAGGGAAGGAAAGAAGGTGAGATGATAACCAAAAATAGGAGTTCAACGCTGGAGCAGCTGCGGGAAGGCTTTAGAGCTCCCAAAAACCTTGTCTTGGTGTGTTTGGACTGAGGAAAATTGCATAAAAGAGGATGAATCGAAAGGAGAGAAGAAAAAGGGAAGGGGAGACTTGGGAAAATTGGAGAAAAGCTTTTAGGGTTTCTTGGGAAGGAGGAGCTTCCATCGGCTATAAAAGGGAGTGTCTTCTACCCATTAAAGACAACTCAATCGAAGGCAAGCAAACCAGACCTAGAGAGCAAGCATCATCTCTCACCTCTAGAACCCTTCAATTTCGAGCCACAACTCTCCATCTCCTCCAATTTTCTCTTTTGGCAAGCTATTCCAGATCTTGACAGACTTTTCGTCAAGCTGAAATTACTTAAACCACCCATCGTTTCTCCTCATCTCTCTCCCCCCTTATCCAACCTTCTTAGAATCACTTCCCTTTCCTTAGAACCCCTGTTCCTCATAGGAATTCACAGCCTTCTCTCTGTTTATGCTAAACTCATGCTTTTCTCTCTCTCAAATTGCTAAACTTGTGAAAGCTTAGCTCCCATGCCACAAGCTCCTCATGCCAAGTCATTCCATTGCTAATTTGTCACGTTTATTTGGTTGATTGGTGAAAGAATCCAAGGTGTTTTCTAAGGTTGTCACTACTCCTTTCAAAACTCTCTTGGAGCCTGGTCTTTGAACTTAGAAACAAGGGCAACCTCATCCGCTCATCCTTTACAGCAGCCCAAGCCCATTCGTCTGGCTGCTGGAAGAAAAAGACCCCAACAGAGTACAAGAAATACTCACACACTTATCCTATACACATTCTCGATAATGTTTACTGACTTCTTTGTAACTCAACTTTTGTCATGGGATGATCTTTTGACGCTCATTATGTTGAACGCAATACTGGTCACGATTGCTTCAAGCTCGCCGGAGTTCTTCAAACTCTTCTTATGTTGAATCTGATAATGGTCACGATAAATTCAAGCTCACCGGAGAAAAACCATCACCACGGTCTTAGTGCCCTCAACCATATGAGTCACCGAACTATGCAAATGAATGCAATATGAATATAAAAGTGTTTGATAAATCACCAAGTAAACATGAAACACTTGATTATTTATCTCAAATAAAAACTCAGCTTTTCAAAGTTTATGGACTAAAAATATGATCGTGAAAGCTCTCTTAAACAAAGAAGACAAAGGTCTTATTTTATAGACTTTTTCTTTACAAGAAAGAAAATACGTTGAAAACCAAATCTCTAATTTCTAAGGCTTGACAGAAAATCACGAAAGTATTTTTCCTATTCTAAAGATTGGTCACATGTAGTCCAACCAATAGGAGATGAGATATTTAAGAAAGGAAGATTTTTATCAATCACAATTTCAAATGAATCCTTATATGCCTAGTCAACTATTAAGGGTATCTTGACTCCTTGATATTGTCATATGATTGAAACATGATTTCTAAGCAGCCAAAACGTGATAGAAAATCAAAAATACTTTAGAGACAAGAAGAATTTAATAATAAAAGGAAACAAGGAATAAACAAAAGATATTGAAAAATATGCCTAAATGATGAGAGCTAAGTTCTCTTGTGACATGTGCTTACGTTCTTCTTTCAATTTAAGTGCTCTCCTCCCCTCCTCTTTGAGAGAGAGAGAGAGAGAGAGAGGGGGGGGGGGGGGGGGGGG